TGGGCGGTTTAGGGCATTTATTGGGCATTTATTGGGCATTTATTGGGTGTTTTTGGGCTCTGCCGGGTGCTGCTGCGCCCCCCGAGCAACCCCCGGCACAGGTCAGCCGGAATTCCAAAAAAAACCCGGAATTCCGGGAATTTTCCCCCTTTTCTGCGGGGTTTGGGGCATTTATTGACCATTTATTGGGTGTTTTTGGGTGTTTTTGGGTGTTTTTGGGTGGATTTTGGGCTCTGCCGGGTGCTGCTGCGCCCCCCGAGCAACCCCCGGCACAGGTCAGCCGGAATTCCCGAAAAAACCCGGAATTCCGGGAATTTTCCCCATTTTCTGTGGGTTTTGGGGCATTTATTGACCATTTATTGAGCATTTATTGGGTGTTTTTGGGTGTTTTTGGGTGTTTTTGGGTGGATTTTGGGTTCTGCCGGGTGCTGCTGCGCCCCCCGAGCAACCCCCGCCACAGGTCAGCCGGAATTCCCAAAAAAACCCGGAATTCCGGAAATTTTCCCCGTTGTCTGCGGGTTTTGGGGTGGTTTTGGGCATTTATTGACCATTTTTTGGGTGTTTTTGGGTGTTTTTGGGTGTTTTTGGGTGGATTTTGGGTCCTGCCGGGTGCTCCTCAGGCCCCCGAGCAACCCCCGGCACAGGTCAGCCCAAATTCCCGAAAAAACCCGGAATTCCGGGAATTTTCCCCCTTTTCTGCATGTTTTGGGGTGGTTTTGGGCACTTATTGGGCATTTTTTGGGTGTTTTTGGGTGGTTTTGGGTGGTTTTGGGTGTTTTTGGGTGTTTTTGGGTGTTTTTGGGTCCTGCTGGGTGCTCCTCCAGCCCCCGAGCAACCCCCGCCACAGGTCAGCCCAAATTCCCGAAAAAAACCCGGAATTCCGGGAATTTTCCCCGTTTTCTGTGGGTTTTGGGGCTGTTTGGGGCATTTATTGGGTGGTTTTGGGTGTTTTTGGGTGTTTTTGGGTGTTTTTGGGTGGATTTTGGGCTCTGCCGGGTGCTGCTGCGCCCCCCGAGCAACCCCCGCCACAGGTCAGCCGGAATTCCCGAAAAAACCCGGAATTCCGGGAATTTTCCCCGTTTTCTGTGGGTTTTGGGGCGGTTTGGGGCATTTTTGGGCCCAAGGAAAAGCTGGGAAAATCCCCGGGCTTGGATCCTGTTGGAATTTTAGGGATTTTCCAGAATTTTCCCTGTTTTTCCTGCATTTTTGTGGCATCTTTGTGGGTTTTTTTGGAGGCATTTTTGGGGCTCCTCGACCCCAAACCCGGGAATATCCCAACAAACGGCATTTTCATGGAATTTTCCAGGATTTCCATCCTTTTTTGGAGGTTATTTTTGGCATTTCTGGGCATTTTTGGTGATTTTTTTCCCTTTTTTTTTTTGATTTTATGCTGGTTTTTTGGGATTTTTGGGCGTGTCTGGCCCGGGGAATTCGGGAAGAGCCCGGAAAATTTGGGAATTTTGGTTTTCCCGGCAGTTTCAGCAACCTGGGCATCCAATGTGTGAAGAAGAAGGAAATCGAGGCCGCCATCGAGAAGAAGCTGCAGCTCGGGATCGACCCCTTCAAAGGTCAGAACCGCCCTGGAATTTCCCGGAATTTCCCGGAATTTCCCGGAATTTCCCCTGAATTTCCCGGAATTTCCCGGAATTTCCCGGAATTTCCCCTGAATTTCCACCTTTCCGCCGATTTTCCTGCCTTTTCCATGTTTCTTCCCTTTTTTCCCCTTATTTTTGTGATTTCCCCCCATTTCCCCCCATTTTTCCAATTTTTCCTGCTTTTTCTCATTTTTCCCGTATTCTCCCATTTTTTCCTGGTTTTTCCATGGTTTCTCCAACTTCCTCCTATTTTTTTTCCTCTTTTCCCCCCAATTTCTCCATTTTTTCCCTGTATCTCCCCATTTTTCCCCATTTTTCCAGCGGGATCCCTGCAGATCCCCCTTCCCTGTTTTCTGTTGTTCTTTTCTGGTTTTTTTCCCCTTTTTTCTCAGCATTCCCCCATTTTTTCCCATTTCCCCCCTATTTCTCCCCCATTTTCCCCCTTTTTTGAAAATTTTCT